ATTTATTATATGGAGGAGAGTGTTTTACTGGGAACTAAACCACTCGTAGATTCCATACGCCACTTCATCCGGGAGCCGAGTGGCGTATTTTCCGTATGTCACCTTTGTGAGTGTCGTATCGTTCAATGACGTCACGATTCCCGCCTTTTGCTTTTGTTGAATCGGTTTCTCCATGTAATAAAAAGAACATTACACGTTGGCTCGAAGATATGAATTTTATGTTCTTGTGGCAAGAACAATATCTCACGAGTGAGCGAGGCTATTTATCGTTTCAAATCTAATTGAGTAAGAAAGAAAGAGAAATCCCAGGGAGGACTCCGCATATGAAAGGGGTGGGGATGCTCGTCGGAAATTTTGAATTAAGCCCCTAAAGGAGACCGATCTGGGCGGGGACCAAGCTTTTTTGGACCCCTAAAAGAGACCATGTTAAAACACAGACAATATGCATGTTTTTATATTTTTTCGCGTGCAACCCTAAACGAGACCTTCACGGCTAAATATGATGGCGTTTTGCCCAGAACACCCTAAGTGAGACCAAAATCCGAAACTCATACCCCTAAGCGAGACGACGAGCATCCCTACCCCTTTCATATGGGGAGTCCCCCCCGGGAGAGAAATATGCGAATTCGAAATATCTTTGAAGAATTTTTTTTGTTTGCGTTATAATCTATGTAATGATAACATTATTTTTGCCTAGAGGCCAGGTCTGAAAACGGGTATGGATTTTAGACGTCTAGTCTGAAAACGGGTGTGGAAAATTTTATTTTTTGGTCCGAAACAGGGTCAGGATTTGGAGAACCGGGCGACACACCCCCACCAAGAATTCCCAGGGGTACCCCCCGGGCACGAGAATAAATAGTCATTTTCATATCAATGACATCAATAGCTTCGCCCCTAACCTCGCTTTGAAACAGAGGCTTCAGGCAACTCGGAAATGGCCTATAGAGTCGCCTATAGAGCGTTTTCACATGACGTCACGGCGTGGTGGTGTTCCAAAACAATGAAACGGCAGCCATGTTGGTGCACCAAACCAATCCTGTGGGAGTTGAATTCTTTTCTTATGGAAACGTTTTCTTTTGTTTCAATAAATTTGCATAGATGCTGGCCACGTGGGTGAAAACTCTCCATTGAAAAGTCTGAATTGACATTTGAATTCAAGTTTGGAGTTCTCAACATTTGAATTGAAGATAGAGTTTTGACTTTAAAACATTTGAATTTAAAAGCTTTGAAAGGCAGACATTTGAATTCAAACATCACTCGAGAAGAGTCGTGGATTTTTTTGCTATCAATCTCTTCATTTGAAAAATTTGGAAAAACAAACTCTTGAATTTAAATTCTGGAATTCCAGACTCGTTATTTCAAATAACTGAAACTCCTAGTTCTTTATGTCTTGTAGTCATATATTTGGCAATCAAATTTCTTGAATTTAAATGTTTGGAAATCAAAACTGACTTGAATTCAAAGTTTTAAATCTCGTCGGTAATAAAGGAGATTTCAAATTACTTTCTACTGCAATAAAAGCTTCTAAAAATTTGGAAGGTTGGGATTATCTGAGATGACTAAGTTCCATTTTAAACAATTATTGGATGAGGTTTTTTTGTGATGATATCCGGAAATCGCAGTCGGGACATGCGCGCGTTTTTACGCGCGGTTTCCGGTTTCCTAACCCTGATTGCGTGGAGCCTGGGGAGTACCTGGGGATACACCGGAAGTTATTTCGTTGTGCGATCGAGGCTTCAAAATGCTCCAGTTCAATGAACAACTCTCTCCGCGAACAAAAATGAATTTCCTTGTATTCGGGAGCAAAGTTTTCCTTATATGTAACCAGTTTTTGCTGTGATTTCGTAGCCTTAACGTGATACCTTTGTTTCCAATGCCTTCGCTGGAGAATTACGTACAGAAAATTCACAAAAAACTCAACAACGAAGGCCTCGAAACAAGAAAGGTATGACTTGGTTTTTGCTTTGCTTACGTGTTGTGACTTCACTTAGACTTAAATTAAGATAAGTTTGGATATGCTTACAATTAGATTCGACATATTGTAGATTCCATCCTGGTTGTTGTCATGCATGGTTACTTTTGATAATCGAGTACTGTTCTTTAAAACTTTTTGCAGGTCAAGAAATATCTTCAAGAGCTTGATCGCCTTCAGATCACATTGGATGTCTTGAAAGTAAGTTGATATGTAAATTACAAGACGCCATTTTGATTCGTCGGACAAAAAAAAATAACCAAAAATAGATATTAAAAACCCTGGCATAAGGCAAAAAGCATCGTCTTTAAGAAAATGAGTATTAAAGCTTTAAAAAGAAGCTATATGATATATGAAAACGTATATACATTGTATCAAAAAATACTGGTAAGGAATTTAGTTTTTTTCAGTTTTTTAATATTGTTATAATATATTCGGTTGCATAATTTAAAACAATTATTGAATGAGGCTGAGTATCACCTGAAGAATTATGGCGATCAAGGAGGGTATTATCCATGGAGGACGTTAACACCCTCTGAGATCTCAATAATTCTTCAGGTGATATGAGAGCCGAATTCGATAATTGTTTTATTATTTATTCAAAATAATTCCTAGTTTAAAAACAAGCTAAAACATGCTTACCTTCAAAGGTTGTTCAGCACGGCAAATATTTCCCAAATAGAAGATGTCATCCATCAAGTTGTCTTCTTGCTGTTCTTGTTATGTGTTTAGCAAATAGTTTGCCCATTTATTCCTCGTGAAATGAGTGAATTGTTCCGCCATTTTTTTACTTACTACCAAAACAACTCTACCTCATCCCCAGGTCTTCTCGGTTAACGGTCCAATAATCGGGCAATTTGCGGCACGTCATTTTTCACATATTGGAAAATTCTTCAAATTTGGTCAACAATAGCTTGTCATGATGAATATTATGCGTGAGATTTTAGCCAATCACAAACGGAAAAATATTTTGAATGAATAATAATAAACAATTTTTGAATGGGGCTGAGTATGATGTGAAGTACTAGATACAGATCGAAGGAAGTATTATCCATCAAGGCCGAAAGGCTCAGGCAGATAACGGCTCATCACACCATACCTTTACAACAGCCAAATTCAATTATTGTTTTATTAAATTCATTCAAAGTATAATTCTAAGTTCTCAACAACTTTATCTCCTTGTAGACTTTCTTTAACGAGACTCACTCTAAATATGACTAAAACCGAGTTCATGTTAATTGGATCTAGGCAGGGGCTAAGTACTGTAACAGTTTCCCCAACAGTAATGACCAACATCAATTTTCTCCTAACTATATCCATACAATGTCAAGAGATTAGGTTATGAGAATTAATAAAATGATCACCAAAGAGAAAATGCTTTGTTCTTTTCTCAAATTCTCTTAACTTATTCTTTAGAGAAATGTATAGAGATCAGTTTGGAGAATTTGCTTGTGGATATTGGGGCTAAAAATATTGGCTCTATTAGTCACTAGGGTGTCAGGGTTGAAACAGATGTTTTTGCTTGCAGATGTTCCTCAAATATTAGATGGCATCCATTGAGCCATATTTTAAGCATATTCTTGCATTTCTTCCTCTCAGTTTTAGTCAGAAATTTGTCCATTTCACATTCAGATAGTCGTGGACTCTTTCAAAATTTGTTTGAGTTAACTTACACATATTAAGCAGCTAGCTGCCACACCACTGCCTGGAAACAAAGTTGCTATATTTTATATATAATGGGGCAATAAACCATTAACCCTTTAAGCCCCAATATCTACATGCAAATTCTACAAACTGATCTCCATACATTTTTTTTAAGAATTAGTTGAGAGAATTTGATAAAGGATTGAGGCATTTTCTCTTTGGTTATCATTTTATTAATTCTGGTAACTTTATCTGTTGACAATGTATGGACATCGTTAGGAGAAAATTGTTGTTGGTCACCATTGGGACTTAAAAGGTTAAACTGGTTGGTTTTTGTATACATCCCCTTGTGGTCAATGCTAGCTGGTTATAAAGATCAGTTGTTTATGCAATACATTGAATGAATAATAACTTAGCTGAATGAGTATTAGCTTGCGTGCAAGCTCTCCATTTGGAGGAGTCACAAAAAGTCATGCAAGAGCAGCATGCGAAAGGAGATGCAAGTGCAAGGGGTGGGAAAGAAATGGAGAGCATGCAATGATCTCCCATAAAAAATGTCATGGACAAATGTTTTGTCAATATGAAGACATTTTACGAGGACGCTGTTTAATTTGTTATCAATTCTGTAACTTTCACAAGATCATCCTAAGGAAGTTCCTCATGATAATTTATCATAGTCTCACACTAAAAAATAATATTAATCATTGAATCTGTGACTTTATTTACTTTGTAGTGATGCTTTTCATTCGCAATTGTTCTCCACAGGCAACTGGAATCGGTAGAGCTGTCAATCGATATCGAAAACATGGTAGTGAAATTGGAGATCTTGCATCAGGCCTGGTGACAAAATGGAAGGAGTTGTTGAAAAAAGACCCTGGCCCCAGCCATAAATACCCTTCCTCAAATGACAGTTGTAAAGGCATATTTCACTTGAGCAGCAGCCATAGTGACTACTCACAAAGAGAAAGTGTCAGCGTGTCTTCAGGAAGTGAGGTAAAATTTGACCACAGCCAACTAAAAATCAGACATAACAAATCTGAGTACAGAACAGAGGAACTGAAAGCAAAGATAGATGGACCCTCAGAAAGTGATGATGTAGACATGGATTGTGTAGATAACAAACATAGGGAATTCCAGCACAAAATGGGAAAAATAAAAGCTAAAACACATAGACAATCAGCAAGTGAGGTGAAAATTGATGTGAACAACAAGCATGTAAAGCTCAAGCACAAAACAGGTGAAGTCAGAGCTAATAAGGCGAATGGACAATGCGCAAGTGACGAGGAGGCAAACACAGTTGATGTAAATAACAAGCACGTGGAACTCAAGCACAAAATTGCTGAAGTGAAAGCTAAGATCAAAGGACAAACAGCAAGTGATGAATTAAAAATGGACCATGTGAACAGTGAGCATTTAAAACTGGAGGAAAGAATTGCTGATGTGAAACGGAATGTAAATTCATCCTCATTGAGTGAGGTGGAAATGGATCATGCGGTTGTGAAATCCAAGAACAAAACTGGTGAAAATAAATCAAAGGTAATTAGTGTGAAATTTTCATTTTTAGTGTAATTGTTTCCCTACTTTTGAATATATTTTGAGGTTCATGTGCATTAGTTTAAATTTTATTTAGGAAGCAGCAGGTGGCTATAAAACATATGGTGCATGAATCAACTGTGAACTCCATGTCAGATAATTGGAAAAACTTGACCAAACTTTGTTTTTTGCACCATTGAACTTTAAATACTGCCAAACCAAACTGAGTTTAGTAGTACAGCTTTACTCCTCTGTGTTAAGCCCAGCTCATCAATTTCATATTATACAGCTCTCTCTTTAAAGGTCACCTCTCTTAAGACTACACCTTAAATGGGTTGACACCAGCGTGCAAAGAAAGTAGTGTCCGATAGCCCGGGGCTAGTGGATTTTGCTATCGGGCTAGTGAAATCTGTTTTTAACTTGCCCGACAGGCAAGTGATGTTCTTTTAGGAATTTGAATAACAGAAGAAATGTGAAATCAATTCTGCTCGATGAAAAGCTTTTGGGGCTAGTTGAAATGACGTCTGGGCTAGTAAATGCTAGCTTCAGCTTGCCCGAATGGCAAGCTGTAAAAATGATTTTCTTTGCACCCTGTTGNGCGTTAGTTTAAATTTTATTTAGGAAGCAGCAGGTGGCTATAAAACATATGGTGCATGAATCAACTGTGAACTCCATGTCAGATAATTGGAAAAACTTGACCAAACTTTGTTTTTTGCACCATTGAACTTTAAATACTGCCAAACCAAACTGATTTTAGTAGTACAGCTGTACTCCTCTGTGTTAAGCCCAGCTCATCAATTTCATATTATACAGCTCTCTCTTAAAGGTCACCTCTCTTAAGACTACACCTTAAATGGGTTGACACCAGCGTGCAAAGAAAGTAGTGTCTGATAGCCCGGGGCTACTGGATTTTGCTATCGGGCTAGTGAAATCTGTTTTTAACTTGCCCGACGGGCAAGTGATGTTCTTTGAGGATTCAAATAACAGAAGAAGTGTGAAATCAATTCTGCTCGATGAAAAGCTGTTGGGGCTAGTTGAAATGACGTCTGGGCTAGTAAATGCTAGCTTCAGCTTGCCCGAATGGCAAGCTGTAAAAATGATTTTCTTTGCACCCTGTTGACACTCTTTGTTTGACTCCGTGTGAGGTGGAATAAGGTGGCTGCCTCTTAAACATTGTGTCCATCTCGGAGAGAGTGGATTAAAGTAGCATTGGCATGCAAAGCATTATATTTGAATTGGCTTTAGCTGTGATTGCAAATAATCAGCCAGTTTGCCCCTATCTGTCAGTTGAATAATATTAATTAACTTCATGTACTGCTACATATTGTAGCTGGATGTTTGCCTAGTCCTGCTAGCTTTTGAGCTTAAACACTGTAGTATAGAAAACTTAAAGTCTTAGAATGTGTTGTAGGCCAAATTGGAATTCAGGTTAACCCATTTGCCCCCAGAAATTTTGCCGAAAAACACGTTTTGAAGCTAGTCAAGCGGTTTTCTGGTCACTGTTGTGCTATAAAGTGCTATCACTTACCATGAAGCCATTTACATGTACGGGTCTACACTTCGCGGCCTTCTGATCCAGATGCAAACTATTAGCTTGTGAAGTTCGGGTATCAGGGCAGAAAGCAAATTTTTGAGATAGTTTTTAGGCTGAAAAGTGACACACGAGGCTTGACTTTTACTTTTCACTTTCTCTTCTTCCCTCTTTTTTCTCTTTTCTTGTCTCTTTTTTTCTTTTTTTTCTGCTGTGTATTTAGTAGACTTCATTTTGGTTGGGAAAGTTTTTGGGAAAGCTTTAGGATCTTTAGGATTAGATGAAAGGAAAGGTAGGTGGGTATTGGAACAAGATTTTCATGGAAGTTTTCAGGTCAGTGTTACATGGTTTTTTGCCTTTTTCTCCTGATCAGTGTCCTTGACGGAATCGTTCCCATTGTGGTATGGTTTGAAAGATTTTTTTCATTCTGCACAAGTTAGTGGACAAAGTTGTCCTTGGCCATTAAAGCTGACGACATCACAAGTGGTAGAAGCGATGTGGA